CTCACTGATCATCCTCAAAAAAGGCACGGATCACTAGGAAACATCAAGAATATATGGCATAAAAACAATATCAGGACAAGGATTTGGAGAAATTCTAAGTCCCTGAAATCAACATCAACGATTACGCTACTTTGCATGCTTGTGCTAGTCACCACAAAGATCACAAAAATACATGGCATACACCCCTGTAAAGATGGCATGGCATATAACAAAACACATGTAGAGCTCAGGATCATAGCATGCACACATTAATCATGGCAAAAATGACAAAAGGCCATTTGTTGAAACAGATCTGCAACTTTCCTCACATAGCCCTCTTCCAACAGCATTTCGGGCATCAAGATGAGCTCAAATGAAAATGATGCAATGATATGACATGATGTACTCGTCGAGACGAACATTTTGATATGCTACACGCACGAATCGAAGCTACGATGAGGGAGTTATGATGCGATGCAAAATGCATAAAATAACTGGGATCTGGGGACTTGGTGAGATTTTTACCCCGCGAAAAAGTCAACGGGCCGGATCTGGATCGCGGAGGCAGAGTGGATCGGGCCGGTTTGAGGCAGAGCGGACCCGGGCATCGGCGGCGTCGTCTCCGGTGAGCTCGTCGCCGACGAGGACAGCGCGGAGGAGGCTGGAGGCAGGCAGAGGCGGGCGGCGGCACCGTCTCCGGCGTGGGGCGCACGGGCGGAGGAGCTGCAGGCGGCGGGGACCAGGCGGTGCCGGTCAGCTCGTGCCGTCCAAATGGTACGAAACTTGATAGGCGGTCTACCGATAGTAAACCAAGGCCACATGACAAGTCTCGGTCCAATCCGAAAACATTTAACACCCGCACACGAAAAGAGGTAGAAAGGGACACCGGTTGACATAGGAGCGCCGGATTGCAAAACGGACAACGGGTAAAATGCTCGGATGCATGAGACAAACATGTATGCAAATGAAATGCACATGATGACATGATATGAAATGCATGACACGCAAACAATGACAAGGCAAGAACAGCGAATAATTGGAGGACACCTGACACATCGGTCTTGGGGCGCTACAGTTGGCATCATGAAGAATTTGCTTTTCAATATCTTCCATGGAGTTCCAATCAACTACCATGATTTCTTAATGAGGACTCTGGAAAATGTTGCATTGTCGCCTTTTGAGTTGAAGCCTTACGCTTCTTGGATTATGAGATTCCTCATATCAAGGTCTTTAATCAATTACAAGGCTGATTTGCAGAATCACGTCAGATATTTGCCGCCCATTGAAGTCTTCAAAAGACATATTTCCTCATCTGATGAGAAGGGCAGGGCACCTGCTGTTATTGATGAAGGCATCCGCCCATTGGATGGTCAGTTCCGCAAAGCTGCATCTTACTCCACCAATGATGACTCTGCCACTCATGACTCTGCCACCAATGCTTCAAAGCAAAATCCTCAAGCCACAGCTCCAAGGGTGTTGACTGATCGTGAGTTTCTCCTCAGTCTTCACCAAAAGGTCAATCACAACCATAAATTGGTCAAGCGCCAGTTCGGTTCAATTCTTCAGAACATGACCATCACTCAGAATTCAGTGAAGAAGAACCATTACTACCATCATGAAGTATTTGATCGCACCTGGGCTATTCTATCTCATCTCTACAGTGAAGATGATCTCAACAACATGGGCTTCAAGCAGGACTTTGACTGGTCTCAGCCACCTTCGAAGAAATTCAAGAAGGTCAAAGTTCCTCACTTGGTGGCCAGCTCTTATTCTTCATCGCGCGAGACGGATGAGCATGAAGATTTGGATGACACTACGGCAGGCCCTACTTCAACAACCAAACCCAACAATGCTGGCGCTCCTCCATCAACTCAGTGATGATATTCTTCAGGGGCGTTAGTCCTCACTTTTCATCCCTTTTGGTCATTGGATGACAAAGGGGGAGAAATTTGACTTAGTCTTCAAGTGGGTCTATATATATGAGTGTTTTGTTTCTAAGTTACAACTCTCGTTCTTTTTGAAGACTTTGTTGGATTGAGTTGTAATCTTAAGTCCGATGGTGGTCTGATACTTTTTGCTATGTTCTTCTGCATGCTATTTCCTCATGTATGATAATGCACACATGCTGAATTACATCAGTCACCATATTTCATCATGCATTTCAAATTCTTCATATCATATGTTAAATGCGTGTATGAATTACAAGATATAGGGGGAGATCTCCATGATTCTACTCTTCAAATGTGCATTGCTTCAAAAGCAAATTCCTCACTATGCACATCTTCAAGGGGAGCTCTTCTATATCTTGCAATCAAATTCCTCAATATCAGTATTTACACTTCATATGTTTATCCCCGTTGAAAACTTAACCTATATCGTCATCAATCACCAAAAAGGGGGAGATTGTAAGTGCATCTTGTGCCCCTTAGTGATTTTGGTGTATTGAAGACTTATGGATTAAGGGACTAATGCGTTTGTGAGTGTACATAGGTCTATAAGTGTATGAGGAGTTTGATATTTACAGAGAAACTCGACCCCTAAAAATGAATGTCATCAACTGAAGACTTTGTACTTCTGAAGACTTCCTGAAGACTTTGAAAGTGAAATAATTGGTGTGACCGTGAAGACTTGATATTCATGCGAGGACCATGAAGCGTGAAGACATTTATTTTCGTAGTTTCATTTTCGCTTTCTTGAGTCATAGGAAACACCGTACTGCTAAAGGGGGTCGAGGTAAAATTAAGGAAAAGTTTCCAGGTGATGCTCATCTCAAAATCCTACACCTACCAATCCCTTCGAGTGAAGCCATTGAAAATCTCATATAGTTCAGTCAATTTCTTCAGTGACAGAGACGAAGTCCTTCTGTTCTCTGAGGAATTTGTTCTGACTGAGGAGTTAGGAATTCGCTAGTGCGGATTGCCTACAAGTGAGGAACACGATAGCCCTGAGGAATTTGAACCTCAAAATTCTTGACCGTTGTTGTGATATATGCTAGTTGTCCCAAAATATCTTATCCACCTAACGATCATTATCATTGAAGGGCATTTATGTCTTATCATGTCGGGCTTCTCCCTGGGCTATAAATAGCCTCCCCCTACAACCACTAGCTAGTTGGCTGCTCCGCGAGGAACTGACACTTGTCATTGAGAGCATCCCATCCTCCGAGGACTTTGAGCGAAAATCATCAAGTGAGGAAAAACCCAAAACCCCAAACCCAAACACTTAAAAACCCAAAGTGATTGAGCTTCATTGAAGAGATTGTTCCTGTGTGGAACCGGCGCTTGTTACCTTCGAGGACTGTGCATCCTTCAGGCGGTTAGGCATCATGGTCTAGAGCATCCAAGAGGAAATTATGGATCGCCGAGTGACTGAGTCTGTGAAGGTTTGGAAGTCACCTGAAGACTTACCACGAGTGATTGGACGAGGTCTGTGTGACCGTAGTTCAAGGAGAATACGGTGAGGACTATGTGTCCGGGACTGTGTGTCCTTGGGTTTTAATACCTAGCAGATCCAACCAGACATACAACTGTCACAGCAGTTGGAACTGGTCTACCAAATCATTGTTTTCACCGAGCTAACTGGTTCTATTTCCTCAACCCTTCCATTTCATCTGTACTATGTTGTGTACTTGTTCGTATATGTTTGAAGGCTTTGACTAAAGGTTTTCTCAATTTTCCCAGTTTAATTTCTTCAGTCTGTTTATCTTCGCACTGTTTTATCCTGTGCTTACGATTTCTGTACTCTGTGTTTGTTTTCTATTCATCATGATGTCCATGCTTATATTATGTCAAGTCTGCATCCGAGTACTTATTCTGCTGCAAGTAGTTCTTCGCTTAGGAATATCCTCACCATAAAAATTCTTAGTGAAGAATTCATAAAAGTCGCCTATTCATCCCCTCTAGTCGACTTAACGCACATTCAATATGCCTTACTATGGTCGCTTTGGCTATGTAGAAACGATCTGGTTTTTTAATGACAAAAATGCTTCTCCTCAGCAGGTTATTTTTCGTTGTACGCATTCGCTTCATATGTGGTCTATGCTACAACGTGCGGAGTACCAACCGCTATTTAAGGTGGTATGTACGCGATTGGAGCGGGTGGCTACGGATGTTTTACCCAACATGAATGGCCACATAATCTCTTGATCAGTCCACCAACCGTTTTGACATAGGCATAGTGTCGGTCTATAAGACTCCACGGTTGCCGAATTGTCATTTTTCCCCTTCCTTTGTCAGATTTTTTGTATTGGACTGTGTACATCCTACTTATGCAAATGTCGGATGATACTCTAAATGCTTTGTATCGGCTTGATGCTATATTTGAGATAGGACAACGCTACACCTACGGACGATTTGCACGGGACTCAGGTTACGGGATGAGCTGTCAAAATATGATTAGAAAATTAAAGGGAGAGGAGGGTCACCATTAGAAATTAGGGGAAGATGATTCTTGAAGAAACGAGTTCGTAGATAAAATCCGTGAATGCCATCCATAAGTCTAGCATTTTTTATTTGAGATAATAAAAGAAAAAATAACTAACAGGTTCGAACCGAGACTCGAACTCAGATGGGTAAGCTGTCCAGCCAACGGGTTGACTCTCCGTCCTCTGGGTGCGAGTAATATGAAACTACGGTTTGGCGATTAGGTGTCTTGTAGTTCCGACATCCTTCTACGGCCTACAGTCGCTGCAAGCTTGTGATACGGCACGTGGCGGAGACAGACCAGGAGAGCACACCTCGGCTCGTAGGGCAGCGAACGTGCGGGCGCGCGAGCTCGGCGTCCAGGCCGAGCAAAACTTCCGGGTGGGAGGAGAGAGAGAACTTTGAAAAGATCCGAGATTGCAGGGGGTAGGGGGGGATCCTCTGGATGGGGGCACCACGTGCGGCATTGTGGAGGAGGCGGAGGCGACGGTGCCAGGTCGGCGGCGGGAGAAGGGGAGGAAGAGGACGAAGAGGCGCGCCACGACGGTGAGGGTGGAGGACGCCGGCGAGGGCAGGGGCCTGCCGCCGCCGTCGCCGGCGATGGGGCCGCACGCCGGCGGCAGGTCGCGCGCGGCGCGGCGGCAGGGCGAGACCATCGCCAAGGGTCACAAGAACTATGAGCTTATGCTCAACCTCCAGCTCGGCATCAGGTACCCCTACCTGCCCTCGTACATTGATCTTTTTTTTAAAACTACCAGCAATTGGGCACTTCCGGCCGATCGTACATTGATCTTCATGGTTCTTGATACAAAGAAAACTGCGATTGTCTAAGAATCAGATGTTTATGGGAGTCCTCTTTTTTCGAGAACAATCACGGTTATATGAAAGATGAATGGCAAATAGATTGATTTTCCCCTCCTTCTGCCGTGAACAATCAATTTCCAAAAATTGATTGCATATGTAGAAAGCACCTTGTGCCGTGAACAATCAATTTCCAAAATTGTTTGCATATGTTAGAAAGCATGAGATTTCAGACAATTCTCCAACAAATTTATATTCGTGTTTCTTTTCTTTCAAAACTAGACAGGCGGTTTGCCCATTTATTAAGAATGAAAAGTAGAATGTGCAAAAACACAGCTCCACACCTAGAGCACCCACCAATATGAAAGTGCGGCCAATGCTTATCCTTGTACTTGGTCAAACGAGAATCAGTGGCGGCTAATTGTAATTTGATGGCTTAGACAGAAGATTCGTAATGATCTGCCATTCCATTCAAATGGCGTGAGTGGTTGCACCATGTAGTCAACTAGGCATCCGACCGGAAAAAAAGCTGGGAAAATTTTATTGAGATGCTAATCGCCTCGGGCTGGATAGCTCACAGATGGAAAATCATGTTATACGACATTTCGTTGTCAACTAAGGATAATGGATCACAACGAGGCACAACCCTTTGTGGTTTTTCATTGACTATATAGCAGAATGCCATGTCTTTCTAACATGTATTTTTTCATGTGCTTATTATCTTGTCCGTGGAACAGACACGCAGTAGGAAAGCAAGGACCTATTACGCTTGATCTAAAGTCATCAGCTTTTGACCCAAAGGAGAAAGTATGGACAAGGTTCCCTCCAGAAGGCTCAAAATACACCCCTCCACACAGTTCTTGCGATTTTAGATGGAAAGATTACTGCCCGCAAGTATTCCGGTTGGTCATCACTCCAGTTTCTAATTAACGTTCATCTATGCTTAGTTACAATTCACATGCAATTTGTCATGAAATGAATTGCAGGACATTGCGCAAGTTGTTCAAGGTTGATGCAGCAGATTATATGTTATCCCTTTGTGGCGACCAGGCTCTCCGGGAGTTATCATCCCCTGGTAAGAGTGGAAGCTTCTTTTATCTCACGAGCAATGATCAGTACATGATAAAAACGATGAAGAAAGCTGAAGTAAAGGTTTGTGCTTGGCTGTTGTTTCTGTCTAAATGTTTTCTAACTTCCTAGACAACCAACAGTTTTATACAGAATGTACGGAACACTTCCTTGTTGTGCAGATATTTCTGAAGATGCTTCGAGCTTACTACAATCATGTCCGGTCATTCGAAAACACTCTAGTCACCAAGTTTTTTGGTCTGCATTGTGTCAAGTTAGCCGGAGCTAACCAAAAGAAGGTCAGGACTTACAAGATATTTGGTTTCATGTTACATCTACTTGGTAAGCTTGTAATGTATGCCTGATCATCTGTTTGCTGTTACTATTACCCAGGTTCGTTTTGTTATAATGGGAAATCTGTTCTGTTCTGATCACTTTATTCATAGAAGATTTGATTTGAAAGGCTCATCCCTTGGACGTACAACTGACAAGCCACAGACAGAAATAGACGAGTACACTATTTTAAAAGACCTTGATCTTAACTTTATATTTCGATTGCAAAAACACTGGTACCAAGAGTTCCAGAGGTGAGTGAGAGTGAGGCTACTACCAGTGAGAAGTCATCACATTTTACATTTTTACTCCCCAGCTAATCCAGAAGTTAAATCTGTTGAAGCAGACAAGTCGACAAGGATTGCGATTTTCTCGAGCAGGAAAACATTATGGATTACAGTCTTTTGGTGGGCGTACATTTTAGAGACAAAAGAGTTATAATGACTGAAGGTTGGTTTAAAAAAATAAAACATTTTAACAACTTTTGACATTGTTGCCGTATACCTTACAAACTTCATTGTTTGAAGGTTCCTTTGACAGTGATAGCAGCAGAGGATCATCACCCCACCTGTCACCTCACCTATCTAGAGGAGATACTGATCCAAACAGGTGAAATAAGGCACTTAATTAAAGCCCATCATTGTTGCTCTTATTCACAATACTTGTAATGCATGCACGTGCTAATATAATCATATCCTACTTATCATATTGAGATGGTTTATGCCTCCATGGTGTTCACGTTGATCTGAGTTTATGTTCAACTAATTCTGTGGATTGGGAGAAGAGGCAAGATAAACAAGGTAGTAAAAGGAGGGAGGTAGCAGGTTGTAGGACAATCCAGGATGCAGCAATATCTGTAGGCCATAGCCTTTGGTTCACTTGAGCGTTATTTTAATCTATAACAAATCCCCAATTTGTCTGGTTGGTATGTCCCCACAATCCCCATGAGGTTTAGAAGTCGCACGGATGCCATATTTTGTTGCAACCTATCATTTGTCCACTCCCTTCATATATAAATACTGCTGGAGATATATGGTGCTTATCAACAACTAATATCTTTTCCTAAAAAAAGCCATAGTCAAACCCCGTTTTTCCTATATACATATGCTATAAATATTTGGTTGTATTCCTATTCATGCTTTGTGTGTTCTAACACAGCATAATTAACATTCTTTGGGTGGACAGGTTGTCCAAGATAAAGCTCGGGTCGAACATGCCAACAAAAGCTGAATTGACAATTCGAAAGAGTGATTGCGAACCACAGCTTATTGGAGAACCTACCGGGGAGTTGTACGATGTTATATTGTACTTTGGGATTATAGACATACTTCAGGACTATGATATCAGCAAAAAGCTTGAGCATGCATACAAGTCTTTCCAATATGACCCAACGTCTATTTCAGCAGTAGATCCAAAACAGTATTCCAGGCGCTTTAAAGATTTTGTATACAAAGCGTTCCAAGAAGACAAGGTAGACATCTGAAAAGACATTGAGACTCAGCAGCTCCTAGGACTTCTGGCATGGATTTATGCGTTGACTGTCGAAACACCATGCTGCTGGCGTTGCAGCAGGGCTCGATGCCTCTACATGTACATCATCGGGTCGCCGGACTCCACTGGATGAGAAAGAGCTTGAGAATCGGGATGGTCGTACTGCCCACTGCTTGGAAATTCCAAGGAATTCAGCTGGAAAATAAGGCTCCATTTGAGACAGTTGCATTTGAATAATCAGGTCGAACAGTCCATTTTTGTTTGTTTACAAAATAGACACAACTGCCTTTCTACAGGTACTTTTTCAGCCAGTGTAGCATAGCGCAGCAATGCCAAGCTATGCCTAAATAGCTATATACACGCATACAGAGTTAACTAATGTTAGTGTAGATGCTGACTTGAAGATCCTTTTGTCCACCACCTGAAGGCTGAACTTACAATGATATTTTGTAATGACAAGTTCAGAGATGTAAATGTTTTACCTGAGTTGACATGCCACGCTTCTATGCTGCTGCCTGATGTAACCGGTGTGTTTTCTTTGTATCTGAATTGCTGAGATACTATATTGTGCACAACATGTGATGCAAACATTGACCAATTTGAATTACTGGACTCAATAGCAAAATGCTACTGCTATGTCTGAATTAATCACAAATGCCGAGAAGATTGACAAGTTGGGCAACTCAGGTCATACTGTTAATACTCCATGGGATATGTATGAGCCAAGTCCGGATACAAGTTTAATGATTTGGCGTGTGTGCAAACCTGAGCTTTGAGCCACCCCTGTCTAGCTAACTGTATAGGTAACTTGCGATTACCTCCATTCGGAAATAACTGACATGGTTTTAGTTCATCAGTTATTTTGGAACAGAGGGAGTACAAGAGTTACTCATGTTTCTGAAGCTTTGCGCATAGGATTTTGTGACACGCACGGTGGCGGGGTGGTTGGGTAGGTTTAGGGGAGGAAGGAGAGTAGGTGAGAACCGGACCGTTCATTCGATAAACACCCTCAGTCTCTTGACACCCACACATGGCTCCATACGCCCACACACGCACGACCCAAAGCTCATCATGCCATAGCCATCTTTCAGTCCACTGCGTCATTAGACGCAAGTGTGACACTCCCGCCTGCTTGAGAAGAAGTCCTTGATCGGATGGTTGCTGCTGGAAAACGTCGCCGAAGCACCTCATAGTCCTCCCAGGTTGTAGCTTCTGGCCACAATTTGGACCATCAAATGTGTAGCTGCACGACCACGTTGTTGCCATGCTTCATCATGTGACGATCGAGTATCTCCACCGGATGCATGTGGCCAGCTGTCAAGTCAGTTGTGCACGACAACTCGACGAACACGGGGGTGTAGTTATCCTCCACCTCTTGTCCTCTGGTTAACCTTTGTCCTGGACGACGAAGTGCTGCCGAACCGTGGACAAGGTACGCGTGGATACCACAGAGGGATTGTACATTCAATCGTAGATCGAGAAAATTCTCGTGGCTGGAAGGTTTAACCTATATGTGTGAATCTGCACGTCTTCACCAACATCTACTTCTCCGCTGCATTCTTGTTGGTTAAGATTGATCTACACCTATGCATCTTATAGTGATCCTCGGCGTGTTTGTCAGTATGTAATTCTGTTATTTTGTACTACGTTCACCAACATCGTCACTTTTATGAGGCGATGCCTAATGGGTAGTCAGAGGGAGAACAATCTTCATCTTAGTCTTGATAGATTCATCTCCATCTTCATTGTAGCCCCCTCATATGAGGCGACCTCCCACATCAATCAAATTCAAACCAGGAGTAGAAATTACTCTACAATGAGGGCCCGAACCTAGGTAAACGCCCCGTGTGCGATCCACTATGGTACTCCCGGTCTCGCACACCACACTATTGGGACTACTCACAGTTCCCTGTTTCGCCATCCATGGAAGGAGTTAGAGCCAATCCCTTACCTGCAGTTTTGGATTCCCAAAAGTGGCAATTTTTTATAAATATTGTTTTGGATCTCTAGGGTGCATATGAACTCCTAATTTGGTGGTTCCAAGTGTGTTGGTGTTTGTGGAGACGTGAAGAATAACTTTCAGGTTTTGACTTTCTTCATTTGACACCATCTTCAGGGGTTGACATGCAAATATTTATGTACTAGTTCATCCAATGTGCAATAACTCCGAATTTCACCGGACCTTGAAGTTTCTTTGGTAGTTTATCCAATTTTCATGAAGTTCCTACACACATATGGATAAACAATAATTTGTGCATGTCTTGTATTTATCAATAGGTTAGTGCAAATAAATATGAAATTTTCCATAAAAAAGATAATATGACAGCATGAAACATACGAAATTATAGTTACGTCGAAGACATATCAATCCACGTCTCCTACTTGTGTGGTTAATCCGTTTCCGCGCCTTTACTTCTTTAGTTGCCAATAATGGTCAATGGTATCGTCCTCCATCTGATTATGGGAGGCACAGTTTTCAATCTTTCGGTACACCTCAAGAAGGCTTGAATGCGGCCAGGTTCTTGCGAGGCCTGTCTGGTCTGCCGTTAGGTTCATACTCAATGGGGCCTGACATTTCCCTTTCATCCTCCATAATCATGTTTTTTTTACAAAAAGACTACATGGGAGGCCCATATAGTGTAATTGGTGCAACAAATCCAAATTGCAAGTATGATTCCTTGAACCGAGGGGGGGGGGGGGGTTGAAGACATCAACCCCTTTTCACCACTAAGCTATGACTTAGTCTGCTCCTCCATGATCATGTTGTGTAGGATAACAGAACATGCTATGATATTTACCAAGGCAAACTTTTTCTAGAATGAACATGCCCCAGGAAATTGCAAACCTTGATTGCAACACTCCAAATGCCCTCTTAATGTCTTACTCCGAGCTTCTTGCACCTTGTCGAAATGCATATGTTTCCTGCTCTCAAGGCTTAGAAATTTTCTTCACAAATGTAGACGAAGATGGATAGATTTCATCTGCTAGATGTAGCCTTGCTCATCATGATGGCTATTCACCATGAAGTTGCAACGTGGAGAGGTGACTGCAGCTAGCCTTGAAAATAGATGAGATCTCTGCAAGACATTGATGTCATTGTGAGATCTAGGCAACCCAAAGTAGTACAAATCTTCGGAGGCAACAACTTCCAAAATTACTATTGGATCCTCGCAATGCCTGGTGAATTTGCCATACCAAGCTATACGACAATTATTTCACTTCCAGTGCATACAGTGAATGGTCCCAACATCCCAGGCCAGAATTTTGCTTCATGCATCGCTAGAAGCCTGACCATGACCACGATATGGGGGGCTCACAGATACTACTCTCCATAAACCTTCACCATAGCTTCGTCGAATACTTTCATGACTTTATGGTTGTACCTTCGGCCATTCGAAGAGTGTCATCCATTGAATCTGCAGAGGAGCCATGTGAAAGCATCTGGAGTGCCACAATCACCTTCTAAAAATTAGAAAAAACAAGGAGGTAGGCGATATTTCTCCTTTGTTGGAAAAAAGGTTCAACGGCTTTCATGTCATTATTAATTTGATGGAATAGTCACTCTGTCATGCGAAAGCATTGTCGAAAAACATGGTGGGAAGTTACAACCTGGTAGAAAGTGATCTCTCATCAGAGCTCGTGGCCGATTGTACAAGAGTCTGCCCAGTAAAATCACTGATTACAATTGCAAATACAAAGTTAGAGATTTGAGAGAATCATTGTCTGGATTCTCCCTCACTCATAATGCACCATGGGCTGCTAATACAGGAGCAACATTGTTGCAAACCCTTGGCAACCATCCTACATAGAATCGCTCTTAGACTTTGAGGAGCAACTATCTAGCTGGTACCCTTTCAACCCCTGCCCAGCGGACATGCGTAGGGGGCCAGTCGCCACATGGTGTGCCCCAGTATGGTCACATGTCGCGTGATAGGCACACTTCACGAGAACATTTTTATTGCACATGTTTTGGTTTCCCTCGGGGGGTTTGGATTTTGCTTGTTTTTTTAGGTTTGTCTTTTTTTTACCTTTTACTTCGCATGAAACACGCTGTGTAAAAAATGTAGTTGTACTTCATGGTAAGGTACAACCGTGCTTCCTAGTTGTGCTTCACGGAAAAGCACATACGTGCTTCACGTGGAAGCGTAGCCGTGCTTCCCCAAAAAGTGAAAAACACTGATGTGCTTCTAGTTTTTGGTTTTTTTCGTATTTTGAATTTTTTCTTCTGGTTTTCATTTTCTCGTGTTTATTTTGATTTTTCTCTATTTTCTAGGTTTTTCAATTTCTTTTTTTTAATTCTATTAACATGGGACCTAGTTTTAAAGATCCCGAGACGAGAAATGCAACGGTAAAAATGATTTGTGATTTGGCCGCACGGTTTATGTAAGAAATAAAATGGTTAGAAAAATGAATGAATGGAAAAAACACAAAGCTTTCAGGTTACCGCAACTGTGTGTCCGCTTGTTTAGTTTTTTTACCAAAGGTAGCTAGGCTTTAATTGATTGTTGATAATGTTTACAAGAATTGATGAGGACATCCCTAGTTTTTACCATCCTTTTCCATTTATGATGTTACTACACACGACAAGTCCAAGGAAATCAAAATTTGACCAATTGCAAGAGCACGTGCAAAACTACTAGAACAACTGGTGAATTTACTCTTATTTGAATCTAAGATTTGTGTTAATGAGAATTTTATACTGCCTAAGTCTTTGCATGTGTGTATGCTAAGATTTGAAGAGAAGACAAGCTTGGCACGTGGAGATGAAGGATTGCAGCAAGGAGAACACCTGCCAATGTCTAATATCGACAAGTGCATGAGGGAGGAGAGGGAAACATGTGCACAACATAATAAGAAGGAAAATGAGAACCAGACTCTAAAGGAGGCCCAAAATTGGTATATGTGCAGAATCCATGTCTTTGCTCCAAATAAGTCGTGTAAATACAATTTGGAAAGCTTGAGTTGTGTGCTTTCCAAATTGTATACCCGTAG